TAGTACTGTACCTGTAAGTTCTAGCATGTAGATGAGGAAAAGTGATGCAACAGAGAGAATCAAACCCTATCACTAGTGGAGCATTCTTTTTCTTAATTCTTACTCAAAACACTGCCATCTTCAGTTCCTTATGAAACAGAGTGATATGCCTGGCTCCCTAGCAGAATGGAACATGTATATAGAGGTGCAGTTGGACAGTAAAATAGAAATATACCTTGCATGAAAAAGTAGCATTTGGCTCCTTCTGTGCCAAGTCAACATATTATAACCATCAGATTAAGACTAACTTTTGCATATACAAGTATCAGTGTACAGTTTCTCTTTCAATCCTAGCTACAGCAAATCTTTCAAATATTTATACAAACATTCCTGGAGACTTGATTGTTATAAAATGCAACTTACACTGACAGAGGATTTACATAAGCCAAAACAATTGAAATACTTTGGTCTTATAAGCTATTTAAAATAAATGGCACTCTGGCAGAAGAGTATTTTACCTTGCTTTCCAACCAAAAATGTGCTTCCCAAGCAAAAACAATCTTATGCTCCCATTTATATAATGGAGACATTTTAATTTAAACCGCTTTTTAAAAACCAAATCCTGATTCAACAGTGGTTCTTTTTGTCAGTGAAACTGAGTTCAAAGTTGCAGTAATCTCTTGTATCTGCTTTGGAATGGAGTAGGTATGAAGAAGAACAAGATGTTCTCAAAATGTTCAGTTGTCAAATTCAGGCATGATTCATGTGATGCTGAAATAGTGTTCAATAAGCAATTTAAAGATATAATCCTAAATATGGATACTGGAATGTAAACCCCATTTAATACAGATGAGCATTCTTCAGAATAAATGTCCATTGTAAAATTGAAGACAAGAAGTCTCATACACAGAACTGGACTGTGTTACAGATCAACACAAAAGTCTGGGTAATTGACTTAAACTCAGAGCTGGCATATACTCAAAATTCATCCATCACACATCTAGAGAATTGGCTGGATAATTTATCAGCCATTGGATCTTTAGGATCACATATTTGATTCTGAATAACATGAACCAGACAAAAGCAATTTTGAAGACTCTGCTGAGCAGGCATGCCTAACCACACTATAGTGACCTAACAATCGAAGGTAACACCTTTCTGCCATTAAAAGCAATGCACCAGTTTGATCAAAGACTGCAGTGGACAGATGTTAATTTTTAATTGCATTTCTTGTTTCCTTTTAATAGCGATTTCCTTTTCTATAATACTGTACTTCTATACTTTTCTTAGTCTATAAAAGTGCTTTGTGTAACAACATGAACTATAATACAACCCAAGAGAAGGAGGAAATGAATGCGTACTGGAACTCTAGAGACCATATTGTCATAGTTGTATGGCTTCCCCCCAAGAAGGGGGGCCCCCAAATACTTTCCTAAGGCAAAAGGGAACCTTAGGGATGAAATGACACACTGGTTGTATGCCTGATCATGCATGTGGCACATGCATGGTGTCTTGTCTGTTAGGGAATGACAACACAGAAGTTTGTCTTGGATTGATGCAAACTTCTCTGTACTGTCCCTGACATTTAAATTCCTGCCATGTTTCACACCAAAATGTTTTATTATCCCAGGAAGGTGCTGTCATGTTCCCACCTGTCCCCTTGTTGTTTCACCAAACAAAGGCACAAGCAACGTGTCATTCAGCTTCCACCAGTTGATTGCATCAATTTTATTTACTATTAATGACAGAGGTCCAGGTGACGTTATCATTTAAGAACCAAATAGAAATTGTATATTGTTACAGGTGATAACAGTCCAGTCAATATAATTAACTCTCTACTAAAACAACCTTCTTTCTTCCCTCTCAACCACCTCAAACTCCAAATTCACAAATCCCTCTTCTCCCCCTTCTGCAGAGACTCTTATATCTGGTAACTCCACCTCTCCAGCACTCTCATTGGTACATGCAGATAGACTATTAATATTCATGACCTGGGCAGATGCCACAGGTGCATTTCAAATGTCCACACATCACAGTCTTCTCTCTCCCTCACTCTTTCCTGCCATTATTACCACTCTGTTACCTGCCCTTTTTTGTTGGCAATTCAATCCCCTTTTGAAAAAAATTGTTTAGCAAGTGAAATAATACTACATGGACAAAACAAGGCAAACAGTTCAGTTAGTGCCATATCAATTAAGTTATATATAGCTATAGACCTAAATTAGGAAAAAAAATTCAAAATGTAGATTTCATACTGTATTACAGTTGTAGTCCTTAGCAGTGTGAGCAGAAGGCAGGTAAAAGGAGTAGGGTTCACTCTTACATCATACCCCACTCTGTGTACTGTCGGTGATGTCATCTGAACATGCCAACAAATGGACCTAAAACAGCAATATAGGAAAACACAAAAACCAAAGGCAAGTCAAAATAATGAAAGTGGAAACGCTACCAAAAAACAAACAGACGGACAGACAAAGTTCCCAGAGTACAGACAGAGTTCTGACTCCAGTCCTCTGAAGATGCCAGCCAAAGAGACTGGCGAAATGTTAGAAAGAACAACCTTCAGAACACGGCCAAAGAGCCCGAAAAGCCCACAACAACCAAAGTTCTCATTCCTGAACTCCCTTAATATTCCCCTTTGGAGAGTGGAGCTATATATGGGACACAGGCTGTTCCATATCAATAAGAGACAAAACAAAAGCAAAGACAATACATTGTGGCACCTTAAAGACTAACTGTTATATTGTAATGTAAGCTTTTCTGGAATATGTCCACTCCTTCAGACATAAAAGCATTCATGCAAGGCTCAGAGATTAAGGGACAGTGGTGTTTTGGTTGCATTACTAGATGTGAAATGCAATCAAACACCACCATCTCTTGCATGAATGCTTTACCATGTACTGTATTCTCATTTTTATGTTCCAGGAAAGCTTACATTAAAATAGAGGAGTTAGTCTTTAAGATGCCTCATCCCTTTTTTTACTTTTGTTTTGTGTTTTTTGTTGATATTTGCATAGACTTAACATGACTACAACTTTGAAGTCTGTTCCATGAAACCACCCTGGTCCCTTAAGTGTGCTAAGGATGCTAATCCACTGCAAGTGTTGAAAGTATGGGTAGGAAATATAATATTGTCCCTGCTATGCTTTTCTTTTATTACAAAAGGTAACTATAAAATATTTGGGACACTAAATGTACCTAAAAAGCTGGTGGACAAAATCATATTACATGCTTCAATAGGGAAAATGTTACCAGCATCCTGTATCTTAATCTGCTCTGTGCAGCAGGTGAAACAAGATTTCCAGACAAGGCTTCAATAGAATCATTCTGCATTATCTTCCACATTAAAAGTCTCCAGTGTTTTCCTCCCATGTTTTTCCTTTTAAGTCCTCTCTCTCTCTCTTAAGGAAGAAAAAGATTCCTCCTTACTCCTCATGGTGTCTTTTAAGGAGTACTGCCATTTGAAAGTGATTTTATATTAATGCCAATTTCATGTTCAATATTTATGTGCACAGAACTCCAAGTGCACAAAATGCAGCACCAATCTGATGAACTACATATACAGTAAATACTTTTTTCAGGGGGGTGGGTTTTATTTAGTATTTTCAGGCAGCGGATAACTGAATCAGCAGATACTGATCCTTTGGATAGGGGATCCTACTGTACTGAACAGGATACTGTCCTAAATAATTACAGCAACTATACCACATTTACAGCAGCATCAACTTACCTCTTCAGCTATGGTATACATCTATCTTGGTTTAGCCAGTCTACTGCAACACTTCACATTATTACTTTGCTATATTTTTGCTCATTCTTAATATCTACCTGTTCATGCAGTCAATCATATGAACATAATTTGTGAAACAGAGACTGCAAGTATATATGTGTTTTAATCACTGGTCAATGTATAGTGAAGTTACATACGTGGAAATTCGAAATGCAAAAATGCAGCTAAGATACAAATTGCAACTGCAGAACATGGAGAGTAATTAAGTGTTGAGTCAGTCTATTTAGGGATGCTATGGATTCGACTTTATTTGATTTCAGGCCTGGTCAATATAACCAAGTTATTTATATCCATTCCAATATGGAGGATTCAGCAACTTTCAGCTAAAGCAATCACATCCAATATGAGCTAATGATTTGTTAGGAAGCATTGCAGGGAATCCTTTATGTGCATTTGAGCTATTAGCTGCAAGAAATAATGGGAGGATGGGAAAAATCATACTAGGATATCAATGAAATAATTTCATTTTATTTTGTGTTGGTTAAATGATATAACTGCTTTGCCTGTATTTACTGCCACAAGCAAAAAACAAAACAAAACAAAGTATTTTCTTTATCTGCATCTGTTTCATTTATTTTTGTACTACTGTCACCTGAGTGTTGACCAGACCAAAATTTCTCTGCCATCATATCAGGTGACTATTTTTTAACCTTTATAATGTGAATGAAAAATAAAACAATACCAATAATATTTTAGCATAGATTTCGTTTGTTTTGATAATGCTTAATCTACAAAATGACAAGGAATATTCATAATAAAGAGTTTAAATTAAATGTATAAAATGAATGTTTATTTTGCCTAGCTAACGTAGTAATTAGTTCATCAATTCTACATTTTTCCATGTCAGCCTGAACTGATAGCCAAGATATAATAAATAACCAGTGATCAAATACTTATATGCAGCAATGTCTGTATACTTCACGAACCTTCATCCATTCATACTAAAACGCCAGAAAGTGTTGACTGGGGAAAAATAAAAGTTTCCAGGGTTAAAGGACATTTTGTTTATAACTTTTAATACTCCGCCCTTCCTGAGAGGAACTCCCGATGGGTTCTCTGGTTCTTTTCAACACATGTTCAACCTCTTTTAGGGTGTCATTATACAATAATGGTGAAACATTACTTCGCTTTCATTCCCCTTTGCTGGCCGCCAGCGCCACCCTCCCCACCCACCGACGCGCAATTCAACAGGCAAAGCTTTCTTCACCTCTGCCAGGGGACTGTTACTTTCCCTTGAGCGGCTCTCTTTCTAGTGCAGCTGTCGAAGACAGAAACCCGGCCAGGAATTATAGAGACCGTTTCTGAAAAAGGGAAGAAATCGGGAAAAGCCTTGTTTTTCTAACTCGCCTTGCTAGCGGCGCTGGCTGAGGTGACAGGAGTTCCCAAGAGAGGAGGCGCGCCTCTCCCGGACATACAAGGGTCACTCTAAATCCTGTCCTCACCTCCGTTTCAAGGTGCCCCCCCCCCAAATGTGCTATTTGAATTTTTAAATCTCTCGGGCCACTCCTGGAGGCTCTGAGGCGAGTTGGTGGGGAAAGGAGTGTCAGTGCAATCCAGGAGAGGTTAGGCGGCACACGGTGCATGTGGGAAAAAGGGGGCGGGCGAGACCTTCTTTTCTTCTCTTTGCCTCCCAGAGAGGCGCAGTTCCCCGTGTCTGGTTCCTGAGCGCGGAGTGGTGTTGAGCACGCTCCCGTCAAGACTCCTCTTCCCCCCCCACCCCGTTTCTCTCTACTCCTGCTCCTTTCCCTTCCCACCCGGCCTCGGTGAGCTCTCCCACTCCCCTCCATTCCCCGGGGCGGTGTGAAGAGGGCGTTCGCGTCTGGGCCGGCAAAATGGCGGCTGCGGCGGGGTCCGACGCGCCACTGCCCGGGGCTTTGAGGGAGTCCGCCGGGGGATCTCGAGGGACGCCTCGCCCTCTGGCCCCCGAGGAGATTGCTCGCAGGCTCCAAAGCACCAGGCGGGAACTGAGCAACAGGCGCAAGATCCTGCTGAAGAACCTGCCCGCCGAGAGCAGCAGCCAGGTAGGTCCACCCATGGCACCGATACCATGCGCGCTCACATAGGCGCCCCTGCCCCGAAGGCAAGGAGAAGGCGTTTGTGGGGGGCACAGCGGAGACCCTGGGAGAGAAAGGATGAGAAGAGGCAGCGAGCCACCAGGATCTAGGATCCCCTAAGTTCACTTGGTTGCCGATGGAAGGCGGAGGGAATCTAACGGGAACTTAACCTCGACAGCGACTTAGTTTCGAGTCCCTCAGTGTAAGGACAGACGAGGGGAATCCTAACCCCTAGGCAGGAAGGAAGATCTCTCTCTCTCTCTCTCTCTCTCTCTCTCTCTCTCTCTCTCTCACACACACACACACACACACACACACACACACACACACACACACACACACACGGGAG